AGTTACATCTAAGAGGGTTTAGTTGTGAACTATAGTAATTAAAATATTAAATGAAAAGTTCTGAATTCATGTGGCTAAGTTCGAATTTCAAAATGAATGATTTTGGATTCAAATCGGAATAATAAATCAACGCAATTTGAATTACAAATAGAAAAGTTTTAAATGGTGCTCTCATATTCAGAAATTCAATATTGAAAATCAAATCTTTATAGACCCACATTAGTCAGAAGTTCCAGTGCACAAGTCCTCTTTCCATTTGACAATATTTTTTAGCTTATTCGACAACCACGACCCCACCAAATTTTATGCTTTTTTCCAATTGTTTCCATAAAGATTTTCAAACAATCCCTGACGAATTATGTACATATCAAAGGTGATGTATAGCATCATAGGGTCGTGACGGGCTCAGTTATATGAGGCTATGTTCTTTTTCGCAATTGTTTCAACAACGCTTTAAGTTATGAGTGTTTGTGTTCGTGAGGATTTTTCTTTGCTCTTTATATACACACACACATGTATACATCGTGTTAGTTGCGTTAGTGTTTGTCTATTTTTGCGTCTTGTAATGAATTAACTCTCACCTTAAATTTTGTTTTGTTCCTATTTTTGTTACATCCTTTTTGTGTATCCGTGAGTGTGTCGAAATTAAATAAACAACAACAGCAAAAACTGGTGAATCAAGCCTCCTTTGCCATTAGATTTGTCAATAAAAGCACACAGAAGAAAAGAACACAACCTTTTTTTCATACAATAACAAAATTAATAACGTGGACGTGAATTCTAATTCGTATATATATATATATTAAAAGCTCAACGTCAAGAATGAGTGCTTAGGGCAATAATAATGTGTTCGAGTGAAAAAATAATGTTTATAGTATTGGTTTATAGCCGGCTTTGAAGGTGAGAAAATTGGATTGTTTCGTCGAAGAAAAAGTAAGGCCAAGGAGAACAAGAAAATATAATATCGAAAGCTGTGAAAGAATGTGGAGAGCAAATTAAATACTTTTAGAAATGAAGAGATTAAAAAATAGATAGATTTTCAGCTGGGTTTCGTAAAAATTAATGTTTCTTTGAAGACTGTTTAGTTATGCAATTTTGATTAGATTTGAGCTCTATCAATTGTTAGAGCTCTATCAATGATAGAATAGTTTTTTTTTTAAATTACATTCAAAATGTATGTACTTTTAGTGAAAATTGTGTTCATACTGTTAATTTAACACTTTCCCAAACAAATTCAAAATATCGCTTTATACTTCATTTTTCTAGGGAAGGGTCAAAGGCAGATTTATTCTTGAGCAAATTTCATTGTGAGTCTCTGAACAAAAGAAATTTGTATATTCAATACTAGTAAGTGCCAGGTACTTCGTCATCGAAAAGTCCACCTTAAAATTTTAGGTTCGTTCCAGCAATGTTCAATATTCAAAATTAAAACTTCATAATTCGTACTAAATGTTTAAATTTTCAAAGAAGAAAATCGTTAATTTTAAAGAATACCGAGGAGGATATTAGTAAAACACAATAGACCCACATCCAAGTTTTGTGTTCAAAAAAAATTTAACGTCTCAATATCAAATTTGAGATTTTAGCTTTATTCATTATCTAAATATCAAGTTTTACTTTCGCATGATTTTACTACTCATTCGCAAAACCGTTCCATAGCTCAGCCCTAGGTACCAAGAGTTATCGCAATATAAAATATTACGGGTTCTTTTCGTACTAATATAATAGTACTTTTCGTATAAATATAGAACGCATTTCCGAACTACTTTCAAATTTCAAACATAAGTAATCTAAAATCAAATTTCAGAATGGTATGTGTATCCTTTTAACCAAGACCAAATAAAGTTTTGGTAGAATTGTAGTATATTTTTTCGAAAACACATTGAGATCATAAAACCAAATTTCAGATTTCAAGCATAATACCAAATTTAGTCCAATTTAGTCATTTTCGATTAATTATGGTTCACATTTCCAAAACAACCTCCTAAATAGAGACATCATTATCAAATATCGGGATTCCAGCTCAATGCTTTCACCTAATACCTAATTTAGTACCACTAAGCACTTTTCGAACAATTTTAGTACACAATTCCAAATCAACCTCCATATCTTATCCACAGACAATAACAGTGACACCCATAACAAATTACCTATAACACCTATAACAATCTTAACTCCAAACTCCAACAAAAACCTCAATATAAATTTTGAGGATTTCAGTCCTATTCCTCCTACCAATACTACATTTTTGTACCATTTAGTACTTTACGTACAAATATAGAACGCATTTCCAAACCATTGCTAAATATCAAACACAAATACCATTAATAATTTAAATATCATATATCAGAAATCTATCTCCATCCCTTCAACCAAGGCCAACTATAGTACACATTACCGAAATCACTTCCATATGTCCAGGCCCTAATACTATATTTCGGATTAAAAGCACTATCTGCACACCCAATATCAAATTGTACCAAATTTAGTTGAATTTAGTTATTTTCGTATAATTATGGTACACATTTCCAAAACCATCCCCATAGCTCAATTCCAAATACCAACAAAGATATAAAATTTCAAAATTTCGCTTCATCCGTTCACACTAAGCCAAACTGTTCCAAATTTAGTACACATTTTCACACATTTAGTACGATTCTCAAAAACCTGACCCCCGTGCAAAATGTCAAGATTCTAGCTTCTAGCTTCTATTCTCTACCAGTAAGTTATTTCATTACTCTATTACATATACAGGGTGAGATAAAAAACTGCAACAAAGTCAAACGCCATAATTTTTAAATTTTCTTTAAATTTAATTGAGTGAAAGCAAGAATAGAATAAGTTTAGATTTGTTCGAATTGGTCACCTGTGGCCTTCAAACGGCCAATGAAACCGTCACACGCTGCCCGAATGTTCCTCTGCCGTATTTTGGACCAATCCCGTCGAAACGCTTTTTTGAGGTGATCGACACTTTGATATTTTTACTGCCAACCTTGCTTTCCAAAATACTGCAGACACAATAGTCCAACGGATTGGTATTCGGAGATTTTGGTGGCCATTGTGCGCTGGAAATGATGCGAGGAACCTCATTTTGTAACCATTCTTGGGTGGCGCGTGCTGGAATGTCCAAGGTCTGCGGCCAAAATGTTTGCGTGCCCAAGGCTTTAATACACCCTCCAAAATATTTTCGCCATTTTGATGCCACGGTCGATTAATACGAGCGGAGAGCGACCATTGGCTGTTATGGCGGCCTACACTATCACCTTGGCCGGCGCTTGAGTTCTGGTGGCCAACCGAAGGTGCAAATTTTTAGCTGACCTGCTGGACAACAAATGTTTTCTCATCGGAGAAAACCAAATTCGGCAGTTCAGTACTTTCGGCCAAGCGAAGCAACTCTTTAGCTCATTTGAATTTTCTTTCTGTTGAGGTGAAAGTTCTTGCACTTTTTGGAATTTTAATGGCTTTACCGCGAGCTAATTTTTTTATCTTTGCCGAATGGAAAATTGCGATATGTTCAACTCACGAGCAATTTATCGGCCACTGCGATGCGTATTTCGATCAAGTCTCTTCTTTACTTTTCGAACCACTTCTGCTGATGTTGCTGTTGTCTTCCGTCCATTTCCTTGACGTCGGGCTACGCTCCAGTATCACGGTAACGAGCGATGGATGGTACGAGACTAAAAAGATTTATTCACATTTAAATGCTGGAGTGCTCTAACGATAGCCACTTGTGGTTTTCCAGCCAAATATAAAGAAATCCCACTATCGCGCTTGAATTCCACCACGAATAACTTTTTTCTGGGAAATTCTCACCAAAATGCTTTGTACTTAGAAATGACAGCAGTTTGAAGTTGGTTGCAGTTTTTCATCTCACCCTGTAGTATGCTTGTAGTGCATGTACAGTAAAAATTTCCAAAACTACCTTTTTATCACAAACCTACCACAAACCTATAGGGGTTCCTATACAAAATTTCAAAATTTCGCTTCATCCGTTCACCCTAAGCCAAACTGTTTCAAATTTAGTACCATTTTAAGTTTAGTACCAGAAGTTCGCATACTTAGTACATTTTTTCAAACCTCCTTCATATATCAAACTTACTTTCCAACCTTTTTGCTCAAAATTTTACTTTTTAGCTCCATCCGTTCACATAATAACAAAAAGTACCATTTTAGAAGTTTTGTTTCAGTTTAGAACTTTTCGTAAACTTGAAGTTCCTTCATTGGTGACTCTCCAAATTTCAGAATTCCAGCTCATTCCGCTTGTACAATACAAAGTATTCAATTTTTGGTACATTACTTTTCGTATTATTTTGGTACGAGTCTCCAAAAACCCAGCCCACGCGCCAAAACTGACCCCCTTGCAAAAATTCAAGATTCTAACTTTAGCCTTTACTAGGCGTTGATTCTCCACCAGAAAATTATTTCACTACTCTATTACATATAGAGATGTACAATACAAATATATTATAAATGTTTGTTTTTAAAACATTGTTTACTTTAAAAAAACTTAGCAATTTTTTCCAATCCGCTGCAAATTTCCTTATAATTTCACTGTACAATAGCCAGTCTGCATTGCGGAAAATTCCAAGAGGACTTGATAGTACTCCAAAGGAGTCTCGGTTTCTGGAAACTTTAAATTATAAAACATATTTTCGAGGTGTTTAAAATACCTTCTTAATGGCCTCTATAGATAGGAGATCTTCTACATATTTGGTTCCAATAAATCGAATCACTTATTCTGTTGATGCAATTTTCGAGGACAACAACAATTTTCTCACCTGTCAGATAATGTCGAGCTTTTAAACAATTAACATTATATATAATTATATATAGATATATTAATATAATTAGTTCATTAGTTGTAAAATTATAGTTTTTCTAGCTGTCCTAAAATCCAACATATCTTTTAGTGTAATTTTAGAAACATAATCAACAAAACTGTATCGAAAAAAAAATAAAAAACACAAAAAGCAAAAAAGAAGAACCCACCAAACAAAAAACGCCTTAAAATAAAAACGTTTTGTCTTTACGGTACGAATTTGTTTTAACAAGAAAATATCAACGTCATATTGTCATCGTTTTTAGAGATATTGCTAACACCGCCATCATCCACATCATCAGTGTCATCAACGTAGTTGTCATCATCTTCGTCCCTCCCCACTATCATCACACCATTAACACAACATATCCCCCTCGGTAGTACTCAATGGTGTTAGTTTCAAGGACTTGCATCGCAAAGTATCGGTGAAATTTTATACGCTCAACATCAAATTTTGTGCACAACTAATAAATATAGAACAGCTTTTGGTATTGTGCCACTGTTGCTGCTGCTATCAAATTACCATTTCCACGTTCCAAAGTACCGGCAGCCAGCGTTCAGGAGACAGGAGTCAACAGGGCGTGAAGGAATTCTACACGTTTCATCTATCATCTACAAAAACGACAAGAAATAACAACTGAAACAACAAATACATAATGTGAGTATCTATATACATACATAATATATAAACAATATTATATATAGGTGAATGTACATATAACGAACACACATTGGCAAGGATTCACATAGTTAAATAAAATATTTATAGGACTTCACCCCCGCCCATTAAACATTTTCCCAAGCAAATTTTCTGAGTCTGACTTCTATTTCGTCAGAACACACATAAACAAAAACCAGCAACATTTAATAATTTATTTAGAATTTCCGGGCAATTACATTAAGCATATTATCTTGACGTCTGCATTTAACATGTATTGGAATGGGATGTTAATGGATTCCATTAATGTTAAATAAATGTTCAAAATTGCCTTTAACAAAGAGAGTAAATATTTGAAATTAATAGGGAGGATTATGTCTAAAATAATTTTCTAGACTTTTTCTAGTCTTTTCCAAAAAGACGACATGTTTTTTATATTTTTCTAAAGTACATGGCTTTTTTTTAAATATTTTTCAAAAGGACGCTTGGAGTTATTGTCGTTGATTTTTTAAATATTTTCCAAAATAGCCATTGTGGACTTGATAAATATTTTCTCCGGCACTGTCACTGTCATAAATGATGTTATTATTATTTTTTTTTTAATAATATTTTCTAAAAAGATTATATTAGATTTTTAAAAATATTTTTTCAAAATGGCATCATGGAATTTTTTTAAAACAGGTCTGCGGATTTTTCGATGTTTGTTACAACATTACTTTCATAGATTTATTAATATTTCTAAATTAATTTCTGTGATTATTTTTTTTAATTGAATGTCGTGGAATTTTAAAAAATATTTAGCTAAAGCTTAATCGCGGAATTACTTACAATACCATATGTCCATGCTGTGGGGCATAGTATTATGTCTTTGTGCATTAGATTGTAACATACTGACGGAAATGAAATAGACCCATGGTTCCTTTATACGATCTTAATAAAATCACATCCTGAGTCGATTAATGCATGTTCGTCCGTCCACCGTTCCTCCATGTATTATTGTAAATAAAGTACAGGTCCCATTTATTGTCTGATTGAGATGAAATTCTACCCGCAAATCATTTGTTTGCCTCAAGGAAAAATATAATAAGTTTAGATTTGTTCGAATTGGCCATCTTTGGTACGAATTATGGCATTCAAATGGTCAATGAAACCATCACACCCTGCCCGAATGTTGCTCTGCGGTATTTTGGCCCATTCCCGTCGAAGCGCTTGCTTGATGTGATCGACATTTTGGTATTTTTTAGTGTCAACCTTGCTTTGCAAAATACTCCAGACACAATAGTCCAACGGATTGGTATCTAGAGATTTTGGTGGCCATTGTGCGCTGGAAATAAAACGAGGAACCTCATTTCGTAACCATTCTTGGGTGACGCGTGCTGAGTGCGATGGTGCTGAGTCCTGTTGGAATGTCCAAGGTCTGCGGCCAAAATGTTTGCGTGCCCAAGGCTTGAATACACCCCCCAGAATATTTTCGCGAGAATATTCGGCATTTATTCTGATGCAACGGTCGATACGAGCGGAGGGCGACCCTCGGCTGTTATGGCGGACCACACCATCACCATGGCCGGCGCTTGAGTTCTGGTGGCCAATCGAGGGTGCACATTTTCACCCGACCTCTTTGGCAAGTAAACACGATCATTTTGTTTGTTTACAAACTGCTGGATAACGAATGTTTTTTTCACCGGAGAAAACCAAATTCTGTAGTTAACCATTTTCGGCCAAGCGAAGCAACTCTTTAGCTCTTTTGAGACTATTTTCTTTCTGTTGCGATGTAAGTTCTTGCACTTTTTGGAATTTGAATGGCTTTACACCGAACTCCTTTTTTAATATTAGCCATTTTTTGGCCACGGCGACGCGGGTTTCGATTAAGTCGTTTCTTTCCTTTTCGAACCATTTCTTCTGATGTTGTTGTTTTCTTCCGTCCACTTCCTTAATGTCGGCCTTCACTACCAGTATCACGGTAACGAGCGATGGTACGAGACACAAAAGATTTATTCACATTTAAATGCTGGAGTGCTCTAAGAATAGACACTTGTGGTTTTCCAGCCAAATATAAAGAAATCACACTATCACGCTTGAATTCCATCAGGAATAACTTTTTTTCTGGAAAATTCTCACCAAAATGCTTTTGTACGCTTGTAAACAATGTAATGAGCTGTCACTGGAATACTTTTAACATCTATCGGACGGGTGGCTTAGAAATAACGGCAGTCTAAAACTGGTTGCATTTTTTTCATCTCACCCTGTGCACATTTTTTAACTATTATACGTAATAGTAGTATTACTAAATTAGTTTAAAATATATTTTCTAAAGGACTATCAGTGTTTTAATTGTACGTATTTTAAATTCATGATTTTTTTTAAATGATTCCAAAATGTTTTTCCTACAGAATATCAGAATTTCAATCGCATTTTTTCCAAAAGGAAAACCAATTTTTTTTTTCAAAATTACTTATGTGGGTTTCTTAAAAATATTTTTGCAAAAATACTATCAGGAAATTAAATGAAGCTTATTTTTTAAATATTTACAAAGGGCTATAACAGTAGCAAAACAATATATTTTCTCGTATTCACATAAAATATATTTGTTTTCTTCAAATTTTGTCTAATTCAGCATCCAAAATGTAAAAACGATAATAAAATATGTATTTTCCATTTCTAAGGATTTATCATCCATAATCTTAAAATGGAATTTCCTAAGTATTTGCATACAATTCAATATCTGCGTAACCTGCTTCCTTTCTTTGTATGTTTGTCATAGTGAGCTTAGATGATTGTGGGCATGCCTTTGCAAGCGTAGACGTTTTAATAATAGAAATTTAATTCTAAGGAACTTTTGAGAATTATGTTCAAGTCCTTCTTTCATAGTTTGCCGACTAGACACACACACACATGGAAGGGAGAAGGTGAGCAAGTTTGAGCGGTGTTCAGACATTAGGACTTTGGTCGTGAAGTGGCACCTCAAGAAGTTTTTAAAGTTAACTTCAACTTCATCTAATTACACTTTGGGTGCAAAGACGTTTGGTCCTTTCGTGGAGTTCTTTTATGATGTGAAAGAATGTTCTTTTTTCCTTTATTACTTTTCTAAACGAGTGGTGATGTGAAAAACAAGCGTGGGGTGGTATGATCAGATTATAGAAAACATTTTAACGGTCTTCTGTCTATAGTAAAAGTTTGGAAGGGCGATGAGTTCTTAAAAATATGAATCCATTAAAGAACTGTGGGAAATATATGAGATGTCCTTTAACAATAACATTTAAGATTTTCCATTTAAATTAACATTTTTAGAGATTATTTTTTTAAATGTTATCATAGGTATAAACAGTTTGCTAGTATTTTGAAGGAAAACAAAAAAAAATCTATGCTTACAGCCCTAACTATTTTTGCGACTAAACTAAAAAAAACAAGTTTTAACTAAAAACAAGTTTCCATAGCCATAGCGCTAAAAGTCCTTAAAATCAGCTCTTAAAGACTCTAAAAATATTTCTGTAGATCTATGATTATAGAATCTTTAAAATGGATAAAGCATATAGTTCTTCAAAATAATTAAAAAAATACGATTTAAGTTTGGATAATTGTTCAAAAATAATTTTCCAATACAACACAAATGTAGTCTTCGGATTTTTTGGTAAATCTAATTGCGATAAATAATCTACAATTTACAAATCTACAATTTTAGCTTTGTTAGCCCTTAGGACAGAAATTTAAAAATATCTATTTTATAAGTTTAATATTAAAAAAAAAATAAATAACAAATGCACAACTATAGATTTTATAGAACTAAAAAATTTAAAAATAGTGTTTTCGCTCCGACAGTCTTTCAAATATTTTCAAAAAGTCCAGAAAAAGAAAACAAAAGACTATAAATATAAATTATAAAAATACACGATTTTATTTCCCAAAAATTCACGACTGCTAACGCAAAATCCATCAACAATATTAGCTAAAATTCCACGAGTTCAGCTCTGATAGTCCTTAAAAAACTATTGTTAAAATCCCCGATTATAGCTCTGATAGTCCCACAAACATATTTTTAAATAATCCATAAGTATAGCTAAAATATTCCTTCTAAGAATATATTTTTAAAATCCTATGCTTATGCCTGTTATAGTACGTCAAAAAATATGTTACTGAAATGGGTTGCCATTAAAGCTGTAAAAGTCCTTCAAAATATTTGTAAAACATACAGGGTGAGATGAAAAAACTGCAACCAACCTCAGACTGCTGTCATTTCTAAGCCACTCGTCTGACAGCTGTTAAAATTATTCCAGTGACAGCTCATTGTATAGTTTACAAGCGTACAAAAGCATTTTGGTGAGAATTTTCCAGAAAAAAGTTATTTGTGTGATTTCTTGATATTTGACGGAATACCACAATATCTATCGTTAGAGCACTCCAGCATTTAAATGTGAATAAATCTTTTGTTGCTCGTACCATCGCTCGTTACCGTGATACTGGTAGCGTAGCACGACGTCAAGGAAGTGGATGGAAGAAAACAACAACATTAGCAGAAATGGTTCGAAAAGTAAAGAAGCGACTTGATCGAAACCCGCGTCGCAATGGCCGAAAAATGACTTGTGAGCTGAACATATTGCAATATTCCATTCGACAAATATTGCAAAATGAGCTCGGGGTAAAGCCATTAAAATTCCAAAAAGTGCAAGAACTTACACCGCAACAGAAAGAAAATAGACTCAAAAGATCTAAAGAGATGTTTCGCTTGGCCGAAAGTGCTGAACTGCCGAATTTGGTTTTCTCCGATGAGAAAACATTCGTTGTTCAGCAGTTTGTAAACAAACAAAATGATAGTGTTTACATGCCAAAGAGGTCGGCTGAATATGTGCACCTTCGGTTGGCCACCAGAACTCAAGCGTCGGCCATGGTGATGGTGTGTCCGCCATAACAGCCTATGGTCGCCTTCCGCTCGTATTAATCGACGCGAAAATATTCTGGAGGGTATATTAAAGCCATGGGCACGCAAACATTTTGGCCGCAGACCT